GTTTGGATCAAGATTAAAATGCAGTGGTTGCCTCTAATTTTAAAAGGAAAGAGCACAGACAAAGCCTTATTTTGTTTATATGAAGATATTTATTTTATTTGTGTTACTTATTTATTTGATTTGGGGCTTGTTTTAAAATTTCAATTTAGTTTTGTTATTTACATTTACATTAGCCTATATTTAAATTTTGTTATTTAGCAGGCGCTTTTATCCAAAGTGATTTACAAATGAGGACAATAGAAGCAATCAAAACCAACAAAAGAGCAATGATAATGCAAGTGCTATATTAGTATATTATTATAGTGTTATATTTCAATTTCACAAAGAAACGTGCAGCATTTTGTCCAAGCAATAAAAGGACACATTTAATTTATAATTTTTCTTAAATATCATTTTGTAAAAAAAAAATCGTGAGTGGAGTGAATCGTTACATCCCTACTGGATAAGGACTTAAAGGAACAGCACAGAAGAGAGTCTAACCGAGTTTTCGCATGCAAGCAGAAAAAGTGATTCACTAAGCTAACACTAAAGATAATTTCATGCTTTGAGATAAAACAGGAGCATTTCATTCAGTGACATGGTATATTTTATTGGTAATTTTTTGGAGATGTGTCATACGATCGTCTACTGTCCATCATCAGAGCTGGTCCTGTGATGTTCAGGCACCACCGCAGGACGGTTTTTAGGAGTGTTTAGCCGAGCCGGATGAAGGAATGCTGGGTAGAGGTGCAGGATTCGCGGCCTATCAAAAGGGATCTGTAACATGTACGATGACTGAAATACAGGATGGACTTAACGTGCAGCTTTGACGAGCCAAGTGAGTTTTTTCAGGGAAACAGATTAAGATAAGGAATCCTGGGATAGTGTGTGTAATGTGTGTGTTATCTGCGGGATGACGGAGGGGGAATGCGGTTATCCGGTTCTCAGGATGATGTGAACTCCTGATTCGGTGAACACGGGGCCGCTCATGTCTCCGATCTTCAGCGCGAACGAGACGTCTTCAAACGGCTTCTGCATTTGACCTGACACACAGTAATACAGACAGCACACATAAACAACATTATAGTCAATTAAAATAACACTCTTTTTTTTTTTTACTTGGAACAAATGTTAACAGAAATGAAATAAAATCTTAAAATAGGTATTTTAATTTGTATACATGAATAAAACTTTGTATTTCATCTACTTTCCAAGGCAACATTTCTCATTTTAATTTAGTTTGGTGAAGTACTTAAATAACAATCGTAAAAATAAATAAATAAACTACTAAAAATGATCGAAACACATAACAAAATTACTAAATCTTTAAAATTGAAAAATAAATATATATATATGAAATTTTTTTTTAAAAATATTCATAAAAAATCTGTGATACAAAAATAACACTGTTCATAATATCACTTTCCCACATCATTATGATTATTAACGCTTAAAGCTGTACCGGTAACACTTTACAATAAATCCCATTGGTTGACGTTAGTTGATGCATTTTCTATTATTAACTAACAATGAGCAATTTGTTACAGTATTTATTAATTTTGTTACTGTTAATTCATATAAACACATGACTGTTCATGGTTAGTTCATTAGCTTAGGTCCATTAAATAATATTAACAGATATAAGTTTGGGTTTTAATATTGTATTGATTAATGTTGAAATTAACATTAATAAATGCTGTAGAAGTGCTTTTATTGTTAGTTCATGTTAACTGTTATCAAATGAAACTGTACTGTGTAAGTGTCACTGCTGCACTTTAGTTTAGTGTTTAGTTTAACGCAGTGACTACATCAACACTTAATGCTTATACAACATTTACTCGATGTTAAAGCATTCTGTAAGTTGTTTATTATGCGAGTCGGTCGGAGGATGATGCTGATAATCTAGTATCTCTAGTCTTACCTCTGCCGAACAAGCCCAGGTCTCCTCCGTTCCTCGCTGAGCTGCAGTCACTGAACTGAGACGCCAAACTCTCAAAGTCCTCCTGGCCAGACTTGATCTGTTCGATGTACTCTATACACACACACACAGACACACACACAGACACAGACACAC